AAACCTTTAAAGCTTCTATTACTTTCTTATTCTCAATTTGAAAATGTTAATCAAATTTTATGAATTTAAAGAAAATAAATTAGTTTTTCATAGAAAATTAATTAAATAAAAGGCATTTATTTCTTTTTAATACAATCACAGGTAATCGATCTGATAAATTTGATAAACCAAAATAAAAAAAGTAAGAAGGCTAACTAACTACTTAGCATTCAATTTTTAAATAAAAACTTATTGAAATTCGGCTGATATTATGTATATATGTATCCAGCCAGCGGAATTTCAATAACTTGATTAACAATATATTTAAATTTCTTATTATTCTATTTAATATATAAAATTTAAAAGGCATTAACAAATAAGTAAGTTATTTGATGTTAAATATCTGTTATTAATCCAAAAAAATATAATCTGATTAAAAATTACTAGAAAAATAATTATAAGCTTATTAAGTTTTTGTAATGAGCTAAAGCTTCGCTTATTCCTATTGCTTATTTTTCACTTACATTACTACCGCTTTTTTTATAATAATTAGTTAAAAAATACATTTATAATTTTGAATTGAAAAAAATAATTAAATCTAACAAAATTTTAAGAATGAATTGTTTATTTTTAAAATATTTTATAAAACAAACAATAAATTATTTATTTTTTTTAAGTTATTTAAAATATTTTTAAATTTAATATAAAAAGTAAATTTATTAGATTAAATTATTTTCTAATTATTTAAAATTAATTTTTATATTTTTACTTTGAACTTAAATACAATTCTTTAGTGTCTGTTTTATCAGAATTAATAAACTTTAATTAAGCATAAAAATATTTTATAAACATAATATTGAAGAAAATAATAATAACTTTTTCTAAGTCATGAAAGTATTCTCTCTGCGAAATCATTTTTTTTTACTTTTACTTTTATTTACTACAATTCAATTAATAATATTAATTAATTAATCTATACTATTTTCTTAAAGAAATTCAAGCATGAAATTTAAATTTCAAAATGAACTTAATTTAATTATTTCAAATCTAATAATTTAAAAAAATTATATAAATATAAAACTATAAATTCTATATATTAACCTCTACAGAATTTTGAAATAATTTTACATAGTATTGAGTGAGGGATTTATTGAATATACTATTTTGATCAAATTTTATAAGGTTAAGCTGAATAAATGATTATTCGATTTTTGGGATAATATTTTTTATTTTCATAATAAAAATTTGGTAATTTGTTAAATAAACTATGAAAATAATCTATTTTTTTTTTACCAAATA